TTCGGTAGCTCTCCTAAAGGGGTTTCGGATTTTTTATTTTTGTTTAGCCCTTTGAAGAATTTATGTCCCCGTCTTACTTAGTAGCGGCCAGCCGACTTGTCTGCGCTCGGCGACTCGAAGAAATGTTTTCTGCTTGCTGCAGATATGTGACTACTCGCGAGCTATCATTTGCGAGTAAACTCAATATTTTTATGCGTTTAAATATGCTTTGACTGTTTTTACGAGTGCATGTTCCATGTTTAAATACTGTAATTCGAACTTCAAAATGTGTTTTTTAATTGTTATTATTATAATTATACGTACATTACCACAAAATGAAGGAATTCATAATTAATATAAAATACTTATATTACCTTCCTGCCTTATTACATTAGAATTTTGATAATAGTTGTTTCCATTTTTTATTTGCTACCTATTTAAGTTTATTTTAATTAAAAGTCTAAGCTTTTTTTATTTTCATGTGTGTACCTATTATTTTAAAATGATACATAGGTGCTATTTATATGCTCTATTGACTTATCATAGTAAGATCTTTAGTTGCACAGAATCCATACTAATATTATGAATACAAAACTGTGTCTGCCTTTGTATGTTTGTTGTCTTTTCACTACTAAAAGGCTGCACGGGTCTTACCAAAATGTTAAGTGAACATACGATTGTTACAAGAGGACTTAGCTGCTTTCTTTTTTTAAGATAAAATATAGTCTATGTCCAGGGTATATTTTAGCTTAAAAAACCAGCCCAAGTCGCGAGTCACTACGATAGATCTCGCTATTTATTTATTTATATATATACAACAACAAAATAATATTGAAGTTAGTAGATATCCTGGACCGAGAAAATTATAAACTCGCAACCAAAATAACCTCTCGAAAATATTTATAAGAAACAAATCGGATTCCTGATACTGGCAATTGGAATAGTTTTCAGTTGTTTTTTACCCCGTCTCATGTTCGAGAACCTCTAACGGTATCCACAAGACATAACTTGGAAACGGACCTCGGACTTTTTGTGCTATTTTTCTGTTGACCTTACCCGGTCGCATTCGTTACGAATCTAAATTTTTAATCGTTTGTTTCCTTTGCCTTATTTCCTTTTTTAAATATTGAAATATTATCTATGACTTTCAGTAACAATCGTTTTTGCCTCTAAAAGGAAGATATGAAAACAAATACGAACGGTATCACTAAGTTATTTTCTAATTTTACATTATAAAATAATAGGAAATACATACCTACTAAATAATAATAATTATAAATGCATTTAAATTAGTCATCAAGTTCACGTGCATTTTTTTAATAAAAGCAGTGTCATGTCGCTAATATTGGTACGTACAACTTATCCTCACTTATGATTATTCTAAGAAAGTAATCAAGCCAGTACATGGTTAATTATCCCCTGGAAATGTGAAGCGGCCTTATTAATTATCTTAAATGTACTTTTATCGACGCCGTGAGATTATTACAAAAAACTTATATTGGAAAGTCTAATTACATTCAGCGCTGGCCAAAATTAAAAAGAAAATCGCAGAGCAAGAATCCCGCCTATTTTTAAAAATGGAACCCGACGATGATTCGACTAATTAATAAACCAATCACGTACAGTCGAGACGCGGCGTCGAGGTGCGGCGGACGTGCGGGCGCGGGGGATGAACGCTCCGATATTCGAATACTATATTTTTTCTGCACTTAAAGCATCGCAATGTAACTTGTAATTGGCCTGACGGCAAGACAGCGATTTTAGTATCGTATTAATAATTGATGAATTATGACTAGATTGCGTAAAAATTTGCACTGCACACTTAAAACAGAATTTAATATTGTGCCGCGAGCCTGATATGATAACCATCATATTATCTTCTACTATCTATTAATAATATGGCGACAGAAAAAACGAAGTCAGCCTCAGTAGTTAATCTTGTCACAACGTAATAAAAAGTACAATACTACGTCTCCGATCAGCTTCTTGGAACGTTATTATGAATGTACGGATTATTATGACACAGCATTAAGATTTCAATATTGATTGAATTACCATGAATAGGTCTACATTATTAACAAAAAATTATCATACTGACGCCGATATTAAGTGAAAAAGATTTGGGGTATGTGGAAAAAATAAATCATTTATCACATAAATGCATTCCCTGTTGTGTCTTTGCGCAGCGTGACTGCAAAAACTAGTTGAATAATAAATGCGTCGGTTGGCAGCATTGGGACCCGAGGGAAACCGAAGCAAGTCGAAGGAGGGCGAAGATTAGCGAGCGAGTGCTTTTTGTTTGCATCAATCGATGCGCTCGCGCATTCGCACGATGAATAATTCAAAAATTGACATGAAATGGCGTATGGTTCTTTTTTTAAATGAAAGGTGCCCGATTGAGGACTGTAACCGCCTGACGAATTCATTGGTCAACGGCTTTTTGCGTTTGGTAATTGCTGTATTTACTTTATAGATTATGAAATTAATGAAGTCGTCTGCGTCGGTACCTCACTCTTACCTATTTCAGCCGCCAAACGGCTTGGTTTGTGCGCTATTTCCGTTGAAAGATGAGATAAAGCAGTAATCATAGGATACCTATGGAGGCATAACATCTTAGTCGCATACGTGGCAACACATAAGTGGTATCACGTGTGTCACATGATAACGTGTTGTCCGAGGTCCATGTATATAGACGACAGCCATTGCAGTCGGATAAAAATAAACTATTAGTCTTCAACTATTTTCTATAATAATTATGAAACTACTAATAAAGATCCATAATAGATTTACAATATATGTAGTAATATAAAAAGAAAGTGAGATCGCATTTCGTTATGAGGACAGTAGACTCTGGAACCACTGCATCAATTTCAGAAATTCTTTGGCCGTTTGAAACAACTTTATTCCAAATTGACATAATATGTAAATATGTACAAAACTTATAAAATTGGGGCACTCCACTCGTATTTAATTACTTTATATATCAAATTAATAAAGTAAGGGACTGTTATTTGCTTCTAACAAAGACGAAACGCGCAAAAATCGTTACAAAGAACAAAATGATAAGCAGACATATCTTTAGATTATTATCTGAGCAAGATTTACCTTTAGACATATTTTAATTAAATTTCTTTAGGTTTTTTGTTGTAAATGACAATTTATTATTTAAAAATGTAAATAATTCGAATAATGTTGTTAATGATGCTAAGGAGAACTTGTGCCGATTTCCGAGTATAAATAATCTTGTCATCTGAATTCTGTTTGCGATTGAGCAAAGATACTTTCGTGTACTTTTTGGATAAATGGCTTCATCGTTCACTATACTACGCCATGACTTATGGTTATGACGGCTTTTTACGTAGTTCACTGTCACATGGAGATAATTTCATTAATTTTAAATAGCTCGTTACCAATTCGAATTTTAATACTCGCTACGAAATGAAGACGTTGCCACATATATAATGAAAAACTTTAAAAAATGAACAATTAATTAGTTAACGTATATATTAAATCTGTTATTTTTTTATTTCTTTTAAAATTCAGGTCCTTTGTACAAACTAAAAGTACATGCCAGTCTCATTGTACCCTAAAACTAATTACTACATTACCTCTCCAGTGATCAAATTGCCCTAGCCGTAATATCTGAAAAATCAGTTTTTTTGTAGTAATAATTTCGGTTATACTTTACGTAGTGTAATTACAGTATAAGAAGAATTACATCATAGTCGTCTGGCAATGGCAGATGGCAATGCATGTGTCACGCGAGTCACATGATAACGTGATGTTCATAGTGCCTTTTATACTATAAAGGTGACGTTTACCACTTACCATCAGGTGGACATTCTTGTTTACCAATACAATTACATAAAAATAACCTCAAACATTGTGAGTGAAATAAAATTTTTTTGGGAAAATATACTTATTTTTTTAATTTTAACGGCGATTTCCTGAAACATTTTTTTATTGTTATTCAGTTTCTTGTAGAGCGTGCATTCTATAAGTGGTATACGTCATACGATTAGCAATATAAGGACATGACCGTTATGACGGCAAGCGTTGTCGTCTGTTGACCACAAAAGTTTACGTTCAAATGTATTTACGTATAATATAAAATAATATAAACCCAGCTATTTATGTATTAACGCTATGTCACAAATTTATTATCAGAATTACGTACTATAGTATTACGTCAGTATATTAATGTAATATTATAAACGCGAAAGTTTGTAAGGATGGATGTTTGTTACTCTTTCACGCAAAAACTACTGAACGGATTTTGATGAAGCTTATGCATCAGAATAACACACAGGCATTTATTTTATATTGAAAGTTAACGCGAGTGAAATCGCTGGTACATCTAGTTATTACCATATTATTGTCACAGAAATAATCTTTATATTTTTTTTAACTTTTGCCTTATCGTTTTTTGGTAATTGGAAGTCAAGGAAACCCACCTAATTTTAAGCCATATATATATAGTCAGTACTATGACTATCATGTTATCATGTGATACACATAGGTTGCAGTGGCAAGAACTAAGATGTCTAGAGTACCTGAGAATATTATGCTTCTTATCCTATAATTTCATTAATCTGCATCCGACAACCGAATGACAGCTTACAAAGCCAGCTGCTTGACAGCTGAAACAGGCGAGTCTGAAGTACCCACGCAGGCTACTGCCTATAAGGGGGAACTCTTATACTGTCATTAATAGATATTTTGCGTCTAACGTTTGTGAAAACACAAAACTTTAAAAAAAAGTAGAAAATCTTCTGGATATCCCATTTGTTATTTCATAGTAAAAGAAAATATTAACATTGATGTAGATTTAGTAATGATAACACGTAAACATTAGTAAATATATTGTTTATGATACAAAAAATTTAAAAACTTAATTAGAGCCTCTTTTCCTTTGCTTTTTTTTAAATTAATAAAAACGAATGTTTTTATTTATTTAAAAAAAAAAGCAAAGAAAAAGAGGCTCTAATTAATTTATATTTTTCTATCTTTTTGTAACTTACTTGTACGGAGAAAACGACATATTGCTATCAACACAGGTCTGGTCTTCTACTGCTCCGTTAGTCGTCAGCATCAGGGTGTTCATTCGTGCGTGTGACGTTACAAGACAAGCGATCGATTTATCAGTTTATGATTAATCGATTTTAACTCGAACAACACTAGTTTAACGTGGTCCATTCGTGTCGCGTCACGATGACGCAGTGCCACATTATGCACGTCACATCACTAGTTGTCCTGTTTGGCGCATATCTGTAAAAAGAAAAAAAAAATAACATAATCGTATTATATAGGTAAAGTATCTATATTTCTTTATTAGTTATAATGGAATTGTGCAGCTGTCTGTGCTAACCATTTATGCTGGCGGGGCACCAGTGGAGGAGGATGAGCCTTGCTCATCGTCAGGTCAGTTAGCCTATATTTTACGTTGGTTTCCAAAGGTGCGTGGAATAGAATTGAATAGAAAATGCGTTTGATATTTCTACGAATAGGGCGATAAATCTAAGATGAAATAAGAATAATTTTAATAAATAGGTATCTACGAGACATGGGTAATGACAAATTTACGGAAAAAAGAGTGCACTGCGAAACCTTTACTGTCGTGGTTTTATACTGATTGTCGGAAACTGTACCTATAAATAAAAGCCGTCCATTGTAAAAATAGTTTGACATACAGTTTCTTCATGTAATTACATATAGGAAAAATAGTTATAAAAGCTATTTTCATATATATCGTATATATGGAATTGCTGGTGTAAATACGTTGCTATCTAAGTATTATATGCTTCAGACAATGGTGTAGGTACACCTAAAACCATCGATAACAATCACAAGGCAAAATTCAACAAATTACAGTTTTCTCATTTCTAACGACTAAAATCTAAACAGCATATGTATCTAACCGTTAGGTACATAAGTTGGTATTAAGCTAATTAGAAAAAAAAAATTGATATATATATATAACATTTTGTATTAATAAAGGATGATCTCTGAATCCGATTGCAATTTTTTAATGCTGTCTTCAAGTTCCGTACTAAGTTTCATAACAAAAATTCTGTTTGTTATGAAATTTATCTTTTTGTAAAATATTGCATACTGATAATGTCATTTACCTATATAGTATTTTAAAACTACTAAACACAATATTTAATTAATAATATTCGACGAATTGGATGCCAAATCGCGTTGTGACTCTATTAGTGAATGAACAATGTTAAACCATTCTCTATTACCATAGGGAATGGTTAGATATTGTTAACTGTCAGTAATGGATGACCCTAATGCTAACAATGATACACGACATGTCGATCCTAGAGACAAAAATAGTTAATTCCTGGTTAATTCGCCATAATTAGATAATTAACCTGACTTGATGATGATTGACTGATTGATGCCAATCCTATCATCTTCCACTGGTGCCAGCCAGCTAATACCATTTATGCAACCATGTTCAATGGAAGTCCTTCCGGGCTTGGAGTGCCATCTGCACCCGCCACCTATCGTCCGGTGAAGCTGTAAAGGCAGTTGCGGCCAACAGCATTAGAGTAGTTCGAAAAAAAATCCATTCCATTGTCTCCCATAAGAAAAAAAAAACATTCTCCATGAATAAAAATAATAAGGTTTGTGGTAAAATAAAAATTTATTATGACAAACCAAGTAATGTTTTTAATACTCATACAAAAAACATCTTCATTCTAATCTAACAACGGGTACTGAACTCAACTGCATCAGATTTGACGCAGATAGCGATGCGTGTTTATTCGATCGAACCGGCTCGGCGGCCATATTGAATCTGATTGACAGCTGTCAATGTTGGCGGCACGGTGACGCGTCGCCGCGCCTCATCTACGGTACACGAAACACAACTAATTCCTTTTTTAAAAATTTATGTTTTTTTTGTTTATGTCATAGTTGAATAGACTACAAAAATATTATGTACGCAGAAAAACATTTTTTTAACAGGTATATTTGTCTGTAAATTTGGCTAGGAATATTATATCTTATAAGAGACATCTTTGATGAAAATAACATATCAAGCTGCCTAGCCAGAGAGGTAATATTAATAAAATTAGGATTATGGGAGTAACCCGTGCTGTAGCCTATACCTAATATACTAGCTGAGCCTGCGATTTCGTATCCATGCAGCGATGTGTTCGGAATAACAATAGCTTATAACTTGTTTGTTTGTAAACCTATTGCAATAAAATAAATATAAAATATTAAGTGAAGTTTACTACGTCCGTTAATAAAAATGAGATATATTATTATATAACGACTAGTGTAGTTTTCACTTTTATAATACGTATCTATAATAATTAAATATAGGGATTTAATAATAAATTTAATTGTAACATGATTTAACTGTTAACTAATTGTATACCTAATTGTAAAGTCTATTGAGTTGTGTATATACGAGCCGTTTCGGAGATTAACGTGCTAAACGCAAGACAAACAAACAACATTTCTAACAAGCATTGTTTAGTTAGTTTTACAATATTACATTGGAATTACCTATAATAGATTTTTCATATATGTTCCATGTATATTTTCACTATATGTTAAGAATAGATAATCTGTGGAGTTATAAGACAAGAGGAAAAACGCCTAGTACTTGTAATTCATTAAGTATTGTAATAAATTTGTTTTATAGCTACTTGTGACGTCACTGATGCACGTGACGGCGTCCCTGTAGGGACACTTAGGTATGTCATTATATCTTACTAATATGACTATGATTATGCATTCTATAGATCATTGGAAAAGTATATTATCACTAAGTAAATGTGTGTAAAATGTAGATTTTTTTATATTTGACAGTCGATATATTGAAATTATTATAGGAGTGTTCAGGTTAGGAGACCGACTTAGGTAATTTTTTTTTCAAACTATTTTGATGTTCTTCGTCGCAGCAGGCCTATAAAACTTTACCGATAGGGTGTGCGAGTGCAGATGACACTCTAAACCCGCAAAGGGGGCTTAATGTAGAACAAAATGGTTAGTTAATAAAATAAATAATTAGCACATCAATAGTTATGGTCCCTTAAACAGCAACACTACAATATTTATTACTATTCCAATTACAACTATAAAAAAAAACGATGATAAATAAATAAGCCTGGACAACTCAATGTACCCTGTCAGGTTGACCTCCACGTGGTTCTGGAAACCAACGTGATAAACTCCTAGTGAAGTTGTCACAAAGCGCTGACAGACCTAACCTAATGCTCATTTATCACCCTCCACTGGTGCCCCGCCAGTGTAAAGCGTTGGCGCAGGCGGTTGTATCTATTAACATCTATCATCCATAAAGAAAAGGACAACTCACACAGCGCCATCTAAACCCAGACCGATATAAACAATCATACTCATGAATACTAATGTTTGCATCGTGCGAGGAATCGAACGCGTGACCATCGAGAGTAAGGAGATGTGCTATACTGCCAGACTATTGAACCCGTCATAATCAAAAAGACATGTTTGCAACTCTTTTCCATGCCCATTTCGAAATTACGCAGCAATTTTGAGTTGGCAATTCATTAGTCACAAATTGGTCAGTCGAAACACGTTTTGACATTTTTGACACTGTCAACCTACTTTCTGCCATCATCGAGTTGTATCGATTAAATCTTGTAACCGATATTTATCGATAACCATGCTGTCTCACCACGCAAGTCAAGCAATGTCGATGACAATCTAGAACTTACAGCGTGTTATGAGTGCACGGTTAATTTAGAAGTAATAGTATTGCCTAGCTAGACTTTGTTCAAAGTCGTTTGCCTGACTACCTCTGTCTTACCCATTTCTGCTTTGTAAGCTGTTTTGTGGTTCAAGATAAGACAATGAAACTACAGGGTACAGAGGCATGACACCTTATTCCTCTGGAATGGAAAAGCACGAGTTGTATCACAGGCGTCATATAATAACGTGATTTTTATGGTTCTGGGTCTAGATACCGTTTAATCTATAGGCCCTATGGGGAAGGGGATTATTGATAATGGAGACTTGTTGCTCATTGTGAGCAATGATAGCAAAATATCGTCTGAAGTCGACCTTCATGCGGGCTCTTTCAGAAATCTTTGTGATAAATTACAGTTATATTTCTTAGTTACAAGTTGTAATTCTTGGTGAATTTCCCACTATCAGTTAAGGTGTTTTTAAATTATATAGAATAGAAATCAACTATTCTATTCTGACTTCATTTATTCCTATAATCCATTATCATCCACAACCAATTTAAAGGTACTAATAATTTAAAATAAAGGATTTGTTGTTCGTTTGTTACAGTAAGCTCAAAAAAGATTTACAGATTTAATAAAAATCATACACGGGTAGTTGATTCCCGTATCAGCGTATTCGCTGACGCTACGCTAGCGGTAGCGTCGTTAGATATACATATAAAAAAGTAAAAAGGATTTTTCTATTTCGATCTAAAATGTTAATTCTTCAAACCTAAGTTTTGACATCCCTGACAATAATTACCAAGCTGAAGTACAAGTACAAGTAGATATCGTTCTTATTATAACATTTCATGTTTTGGTTGAACGTGCAGTTGATATAAAAAACATCCGAGTCGTGGGATACCCGGTGTGTGTGTAAATGAAGAGAAGGGAGGGGAGATGGTAGCTACTGTTATGATATAAAGTTCATTAATATTAACAGTCATTGATCAACTGTGAGATCGAACAAGTAATGTAACATATGATTCATACAAGAAACTAAGTGAAAGAAATAGTGGTCACCCAGTAGTCGAAATAATATATTTAAGCTGAATTTAAAAAAAATATATCTCTATGTATATAAACTACAAGCATATGAAATATATATGAACGTAGAAACGTTCACACAATTTTCACAAATGCTTCACGTATTAACCTAGTCATTATATTAAAGACAACACAAACTGACGCCACATTGTGAAACTAACGCATTTAGGGACATTTTGTAACGACGAAATTTGGAGGGAAATAATTGAGAGTTATCAGCAGCTTTTGGTATCCGTATACGCCTAAAAAAACAAGAATACCATCGTTTTGAACAACTCGAGTATCTCGTATTGAAAAAGTGAATCCGTTGTAGATTAAATACTTAAAAAGAGTGGTCATAATCTGCGTATATGTTTTTTCAAAATCCGAATTTTGGGGGATTTTGGACAAAATTAGAGAGGAATATCAAATAATAATTTTATAACACCGCTTGCAGATAATATATTATAATCGACACCAGAACCTATAAAAATTCATAGAAATATATAG